CGGTTCTCGTTACCGACGATTTCTTAAAGGTTGGCCAAAAGCTGGGTAATTGATGTCATGATGAGTGGAAAACAGAAACACTGGCATAAACAATCGTTGATGATTAGTTGGCGTCGATGTTTACAACTATATCAGTGACTTGGGATTGAAGACAGTTGATGTCAAAGGGAGAGAATAAGATGTTGATTACCCATGTTCTAAGACATTGAAAACATTTTTAGTACCTAAAACAGGTTATAAATCTCTCCCACTGCGTCCACTCTACTGTTTTATCTTGGACTCTTTGTCAAAAGTATTTTTGTTTCAGATTTGAGAATTTATCATCCGAAAACTCCATAAAAGTGTGCTTTAGTCATGATCTGGAAATGTTGTAGATCTGAAATTAATGTTTAATAAATCTTCGACTGGTTATCCAAGTTTTATATAGTTAAGAAGTAATATCAATATTGATAGCAATATGAATCACACTTCTGAGAGTCAGTATATGTATATACATCAAGTTTAAGATGAATGCAATAAAGGTTTTTGACGATTTTTTATGCCTGTAACTCATAATTATCTTGATAGACAGACTTATCATATTTTAAGCCAAGAATTGCGGTGTTCATAACTAAATTCTTCCTGTTCTTATCGAAGTACATTGTATGGTGTAGTCATTAGCAACTGTCTGGCATTGCAACTTTACTGCTGGGATTCATCTCCCCTAGTCATAGTATATTGAATGTGAGTGAGAATTATATAACTTTAAGGAACAAAAATCAAGACAAAAATACGTTACAGCTATCGGCGTATTAATAAAACATACCAGGATGGAATTGCCTCCAACACATTGGACATACTTTCAACTGACAATCAACTTTGAAAGCAAATTGCTCATTTCGAAGTTTCATTCTATTAATCATCGAAAAATAGCTCAAGATAAGACTTTTCCAATTAGTGTGAGAAATGTAAATTCAACACGATATTCCATTCGTGCACTGGAAAATACGTTATCATTTTGTACAACTTCGTGCCAAAAAGGCATGTTTCAAGGAAATTAGTGTTTAGGATTAAAAGAATTTATTGTATTCTTAAGTCGGTACACGTGTGAAGAAGTTCCAGGAATGACCTACATACCAAAATGTCTGATAATTAATCTGACATCATGACATTAGAAGGGTTTGTATCTATCACTTCACTATTAATCTAATGATATACATAGAGATATGAAACTTCCTAACATCCGGTTAATTTCATTATATACATCTAATTCCACATCTTGAATGCTTATGGTCCGAATACGTGCCTGGCGCGGTTATACCGACACAGTAAGTTACAAGACTCCATTGAACTATGGCTCTTGTTAAAGCCTTCATCTAAATAATCTGAATTGAGGAACGTAACCCTTATATTCATCTGATATTGAATTTTTTTTTCTCGCGTTTATTTAATCAAGAAACTTTTTTTTATGAGTGAATTCTCTTTGATCTTTGATTCCTTAAGTCTCATATCTATCTTAAAGTATGATTTGATAATTAAGAAACGGTTATGAAATTGCGGATTAGTTCGATATATTGAACTCTTAAGGATCTTCGGTCACATTTTCATTTAACCCTTTGTCTGGTTCACTGATTAGCTGTCATTGAATTGTGATGTCCGAGGACTTGAGTTCCCAACCAATTAAACAATTGATTCTGAATTTCTAATGGTTACTTATATCCCATCTGAAACCTGATTCACAACTGACGTGTCGAAGGTCTAAATATGTGTATACTGTTGCTCTAGAACGTGCCTAAAACACCTCATATCAGAAACCTTCGCTGTGAGGAGATGAACCAGAGTGTCACTAGATTATTAATACAATTTCGAGACTAGACGAATTATTTATATTTTGTTAATATAATGATATAAATACTATATTCAATCATCATTAGTACACGTCGTCAAATAACTACAGTCTGACATCTCATACTCCATCTCCATATTTTGATAAAAATTTAATTAACAGTAACAAAAGATATGAAATGACTTTTGAGAGCCAGACAGAAGTTTTGCTGATTCTAGATTTTATTTTTGATTAACAGTTCTAAAATCTTCGCATTATTCTACTATGAGAAAACTTATCTATGCTGTCACGTGGTTTTCAAACCAGCCATTCAACACACATGTACGTAGTCATTTTTAACTTTTGTTCTGTATCTCCTTGGGGAAGGGAGACGGGGGGTGTCTGAATTCTCCAAAGATATCTATATCTTAAAGTATCTTAGTTACTCTTCGTTTACCCTAGTTGTCGCTGATATCCCTAGGGTGTTTTTCAACCTCAGAATTCAGAACCAGTGTTCTTATTGAATATATGAATGTTTTGGAGAAACCGAATGAAGTCGAGCGTTAAATTCTTTGAAGAAACGTTAATTTTTTCTTCAATAAAATCGGAATTGAATTTTTTTTTATTTTTATTATTAATTTATCATAATCTGGTCTATTTTTTGACAAGATTTTTATCGTTCGTGACCTGTCTGAACCATTCCAAAACTAATTTAATATCTTCAGAAACATGCTTCAATTACATGTCAGAAAGCATGAACTGTTATAAAATGTTAAATCCCAGAGCTAATTGTTTTATGGTAATCAAGACGATGTTAAATTAAAGTGATAACGGCAGTTCCCTATAGTATTTAACTTCCTGTAATCAACTGCTCTGATTGAACGCTACTTTTGATTAGTTTCAACATCGCTTACGGGTATAAAGTTAAATAGAAGTTACCAAGTAATTTAATATGAAATAAAACTGTTTTGCCAAAATGTTGCTTGGATTTCGGGTTTGGTTTTGTCGTTCGAGTCGTCAGTACTTGGTTTATTTATAAGTGATTGAAACTGCAGCAGGCTAGTATTGCGAAGTGCCAATTGTGATTTTAAACTCCAAGTTGCTAACACCGTTATCTTAGTATTTATTGCAATGTTTTCAAACTTGCTATTGACGTTTTAGAAGGTAAATTGATCGAGAGTTAAAACTTAAAAGAAGTCGAGTTCAAATTTCTGAGTTGTTAAGAAGTATTAACCAGGTTAATGTAAAGAATAATAAGTTTGATTGTATCAGAGGTTGATAATTACTTAGTTAATAGTATTTATATTACAAACATCTCAAGGCTGTTAACTGGTGCTGGACAGAAATATCATCATAAAGGTTAATAATGTTAATGGCTTAACAAATATAATTGATAGAGTTAATGCTATCTCGAATTCTACTAATATATTGTTATTTATTGTCTTCAAGGACATAATTCGCGCAATTTCAAAAAATGGAAACAAAATTTATTTAAGAAAAACTTATAACAACTATCAATGAAAATTGAAAATATCAACAGAAAATATTTATAAACCTTTTTTAATCCTTGTTTTATGAGCTCCATTTGGTTATAATATATTCAAGAATAGTCAGCTTTTCAAAACGCTTTCGCCATAATATTCAATTTTAATTCTGCGTTAAGACTATACTACATGAAATTCAACATATACCAAGTACCTCGTCGATTTATCTGAAATTAACCGAAAACTCAAACAAATGGATAAATAGAGGGAGGTTACCCTTTAAACCCCATTGCGTACCATTAAAATGTAAAAACTGTTTTCATAACGATCCTTCTTAACTTAACACCTCGTTATGAAATTATGTGAAATCAATACAACTAATATTATAGTAATCAAAATGCTAAATTTGACAAAAAGACAATTTCTAGATGTTAAAATCCATTTCTTAGTTGTGTACAAAAACATTTATAGGAAAAATTTAATGAAATTTTTTGTCTATGATCATGCAATTACATCAAGTTATCAGCCACTTATTTAGAATTAACTTCAATATTTAAAAGCATTCCGTAGCATTGATTGGAACTTCACTTACTGGATCTTACTTTTCCCGGACCTTTTTCTCTCAGAGGTTTTCAACCAAGGGGGGTAATTTGGATATTTGGAGGGGAATGACGAACTTTGTAGTCATGCTTTTTGGTCAATTATGATAGAAGACGTTCTAATCTGTTAATATATATAACATATCATCATCTGAAAAATTTCACTAAGATTGATTTTTACTATGCAGATTGCTATTTTCTTAAACCATGGATATCATCTGAGCAAAGTTTCCGAGAAATACCTCGGATAATTGTGATGTCATCAACTCCAACAGCAATTCGCTATGTAACGTCTCTTATACTTTTCTGTAGCAGATCGCACCGAGCTTGCTAAATGACAATTAATACCAATTCTTGGTTTTTAAAAGAAGCACATGTCGAACAAATATGAATAGTTGTTAAGCCGCACTTCTATTATTTATTTCCATACATTAGGAATTCACTTAATCTATCTATCTGAGAATGTGGAAGAAATAACGTGGTCGCTAATGATGGTGCTAAAATACTTCCCGATACCGGTAAAATCCTCACTCAAACTTGTTATTATTGCTGTAAATTGTCCATTAACTACGCTATAATCTGGAGAATGGAGCTAAAAATCCCGGATACATCGTTATACCTGGTTGTCTAAACTTTACTTCTATAACACTTTAGAATATAGCAGTTATGCCTCCCACGATAACATTATCTTCATGGTAGCTTCCAATTTACATTAACACACCTGTCTGTCTTTAAAATAGATCTTGGTTGTTTTTCTTGCAAAGAGAGTCATGGCATGTCGCCAATATTATCATAGATTTCCATAATAATGTTGCTTCAATAGTAGAAGTAGGTGATAGCATCGAAAGCCAGGGGACTCTCGGAAGCATGACAGTGACATCAAAAATTTTCTTACCTAAAGGACAACCCAACAAGCAACCAGCTGCCGGTTATATCTGACTGGTTTGGTGCAAGACACATTTCGCTCTGTGATCATTTTAAAGAATGTTGCTGCTACAATCATTTAAAGTTCTAGTTAGAGAACCCGAGGGTAGCTCAGTCAAAGATTGACATTGACTTTAGAGCTGTTTTTTTATTTACATTTATTTTGGTATTTTTTCTATTTTCAGGCAGAACTGTCGCCTTTTTGGAGAATATGGTATCACATGCTTCAATCCTCATCATTATGGCCATCAGCTTGGGACGATTCTACGCTGTCTGTTACCCATTGAAGGCTTACTCCAGCGGCAATACCCGACGAAAGATGATTCTCATTGGTTGTTTGTGGATTGTAGCGGCAGGATGGGCTGTACCGTTTTTCCTCTGGGCCCATACTAAGGAGACATATCATTATATCGATAAAGCTATGGTAGATGTTTGCATAACACCGATAGATAGTGATGGAAGAAAAGCATTCGTTGTGTTAATATTTTGTGTGTTTTTCATGGCGCCGTTGGCTATGTTGATCATTGTGTATATTATTATTATATTCCGTGTTGTCAAAAAGACCATGTCTGGAGATAAAGACAGTAAGAAGAACCAGAACAGTGATTCCCACAAACAGTTAGTGTGTATGCTGGTTGGAATTATTATATTGTTCTTTGCTAGCTTGTTACCGTTCAGAATATTAGTACTGCTTAGTATATTTTCACCCGATTCAATGAACCAGATGGATTTCGTGACTTATTTAAACCTCATGAATTTCGGACGCTTGTTGGTGTACGTTAACAGTGCAGGCAATCCACTAATATATAATATCGTTTCCGTCAAGTTCCGTAGCGCGTTCCGGAAAGCCTTAGGATGTCCGAGTGTGAAATCGAAAGAAGCCGTTAGACTAACCACTATGACTCAATACAGTTACATGCATAAACATGATTCCGTAGATCCATTGTGAGTAATCCACTAATCGACATTCTTTAGATATATTAACAGAAAAAACAATACCAGTTGACCATCAATGTTTTGGCATTAGGCCACGTAGTCTCGAAACGATCTTAGCGCCCGGATGTCCTAGATACTTAAATTCTAACATTGATTCTAGAATAATTATCCTAGCGCTAATTCGTCTCGAGAATACATGCCCAGGTGTTCTGTAAGGGCGAGCATGCTCTGCGACACCCTTGTTGAGTACTTATTTTGTTGGACTTCGACCTTTTGTTAGAGCTTAAAGCGCGGGAATAGTCTTGTTCAACAACATTCTTAATTCAAACAGCAGTTCATCCGTTCTCATTGACCAATTTGTAACTTTGTGAACTTCACGCCGTTGCCAGATATACGTCTTGACTTGTCAGTAATTCGCCTCTGAAATACTTTCTTTGACTTCTAATATAATGTTGAGTCTGTTGGGGAGAACGGTTTCGATAAAAGATATTTTCAGTGCATAATCACAGATGGTTCAAATTTCATTGAAAGCGCCTTTAGCCCATTGACATTTATGTTGAGCCAATATAAAATATTTACATTTCTCATGTATTAACATTATTGTATGAACAGTATCTTAAATCGGATATCAACTGAAAGCCATATCGTCTGGTACAGAAACCTTGTCGATCTTCTTCAACTCCTAATAGAGCACTAAACAAACTCTTACATTAAGTTGCCATAACTTCATCCAGTCACGAAATCGACTAAAATTGTCGAATCTGAAAACTGAAGATGTGTTGGTTTCTGGTCAACCCGTAAACACGAACCCAAGAACTAAAGAAAACATTCTTAATCCACCCATTAAGAATTTCCGGAATAAACGGAAGTTTGACAGGTCCAATAATAACGCATTAAGTCATTCTGCCAAGAGCAATTATGTATATATAGACTAGCTGGGAGACTGAAAAAGGAAATTAGCTTTATTTTGTATGTAGGTTGTGTGTTTATTTTTTTCATTAACATTCATGTCTGTTGACGATTGTCAGAGCGACGTAAAAAACGCAAAACACCATGCTGTTTAAGAACCCATTAAGAGACTACGAAGTCTGCATTCAAATAGAAGCCTGTAGATGAGCTTTGAGAGTTAGATAAGGTACACATTTGCCTTGGTTGCGACCGCATTCAGCCGTTGAAAAACCAGTTGTTCTCACGTTCTGCTTTGAGTTACAAGCTGAGCGCCAATTTTTGTAAGGCCCGTGGTGGCGTTTCTTGGAAACATCTGGTGAGGGGGTTGAGCAGGGGTCACAAAAATTTCCAGGGGGGGCACAGGTATTTCTTTCACTATGTAAAATGCCCACATCCCGCTGAGCTGGCCTAAAAAACCAACATGCTAGTGTGCGAGAAAGTATCGTATTGGTGTATCTCTAGACACGTCTAATCAAGGATAAATGGAAGAACCATGTATATATGATGTATATAATGATGATTCTTTGAATGATTCTTAATGTAATTTATGTATAAGCCCAGTGGTAGCTGCTTCAAAATGAACACCGAATCTAGTTAAACTTTAACGATTCCAATCTTCCGGGCGACTGAAATTGAAATACAATTCAAACCCTTAATTACGCCAATAGCACGAGTAACAGTGTGTACTGTCGTATCAGAAAAAAATGTCCTTTTGACATGTTTTGTGATACAGTCCTCGCCAGGACGGTTAGTTTGTTTTAAATTATGGAACCCCGGAAGTGAAATTGTAAAAGTTAAAATATTGTTATTGTTTATTTATTGTTGTTGTTCTTGTATTGTATATAGATCACGTGATCAATAAATATGTTATTTTTTACGATGGTATGTTGCTCACTGGATAAGACTTGTGACAATTGCAAGCTGTGTGATGAAAAATTCATTATTATATCCTGTACTTACTGCCAATGGATGCGACGCTGTTGTGCTGAAATGTTGATCCAAAGAATATTTGGGGAGCTGATGGTTAAAAGTTGCTTACCTTTTTGTCAAATTATTAAAGAACTGCAACAAAACATGCTGGAATTTCCAAAGTATATTTTTACTTGTATTACTTTATAAAGAACAAACAGCAGATAATCCACTGTTGCAGGTTGCTTATCGCGACTCCCAAAACCAACACAGACGGGACAACGAGTATTTGAAAGAGTTCTATGATGGTTTTGTTTTGTTTTAGTATAGATGTCAGAGCAAAATCTATCGAAGCATGTTCTTCTATCATCAAATGCCACAGGAAAATCAAAATGAAATTTGCAGGTTTCTGTTGGATTGGATACATGTAACTTGTTTGCTCACTCACCGTTTTAAACTCTCGTATTAATTTTTTTATTTTTTCAGAAAACAACATTTTCATCGATGGCACAGATATTGTAATTAAACGATATCAAGTATAATAACGATCGAAATAAAACATTTCATAATGATCGCTTATAAAATCATTAGGCTCACAAAATTATTGTTTTAGAAGTTAATGAAGAATAAAAATGAAATGTTTAGCAAATGACTGCAGTTGAATTAAATGCATATTGTAATTTTCAACATCTGAATTCAGACAAAAGAAAAGACCAAGTTTATATAAACATTATTAATAAATTCATGGTTGATTTACCTTGTTAATGGAATTGGAAAGTAGTTCAGGGACCAAATGCTATTGTTCTACAATTCTAGGTCATTCATCGAGTTCTACCATACTAGACAAGATTTTGTTGTAACAGTAACAGTAACAGTAACAGAATATCATTTTTTCAGAAACGTTTCTAAATACGATAAGTCGATAAGAACATTATTCATTTTCTCCAATTCTCTCAAATTCCAAATACATTGAAGAGGGTAGGTCCTTACTTTAATCGAGGTGGGAACAAGAGAACAAATAGAAGGTTTGAAATAGCAGTGAGTTTTAGATACCGTCCGCTTAGGAGCAAAACTATTTCTTCTGGAGATTGAAATTTTCTTGCTTCAGTTTGTGCAAGATGGACACTTACCTGAGAATTCACTTTTATTTCGTCATCTAAGTTTCCAACTGCCCATGAAATTGTCTGACAAAGATAAGATTTCCCAGCTCTATATCACCTCTTGTGTTTGATGGAAGAGAAGTGTCTTGTAAAGATTTTATAATTTCCGTGAAAGAAGTTTCACTCAACATGAATTAATAAGAATTATGATAGCAAACGTAATTTCATTATAAACTATCATATTTATAACTCATCAAATCAATGTTTACACCGAAATTGAAAAGGTTACACAGCATGTATTAATGAGAATTATGATTACAAACGTTATTTTAATGTAAAAATCAAACCAGAATTTCACAGCTGCCATTGATCAAATCAATGGATCAGTGGCGTTGCAAACATTTCATCGACACGGGGAGGGGAAAGGGAAGGGAAATGCGGGAATTGATCCGAGCACCTCGGCTCCCCTTTTGGATTTCAGAGGGTACAAGTCGCGGGGGTGGGACAGGGTATAGAGCTCACCCCCCCCCCCCCCCTCCCCTGGAAACTGTTCCGAAAGGCCGAAAGTGCATCTTACGCGATTTTGGCAGTGATAGTAGAATACATTTTTCTGGACATGAAACCATGACTCCCCTAAATATGCCACTGCAGGGGATATCCTGAAACTGAAAATGTCACTCAGCACGCAGTTGTTAGAAATATTTGAGTTTGAGTAATTTAAAAAAATATATTTAGAATTTCAGTCTCGGGATTGGCAGTAAGAAAAAAGACATAATCGTATAAATAAATACATAAATCACTGCGGGTAAAGAATCCACTAGACACTAATAGCATCATTCTATAAACAAACAAAAATATAACAAACATCAATTATCAGTAGTCTCTTACTTAACCCCTGCTGCTCTGCCGATTTAACAAAAATGTCAAGAAACTAAAAAAAAAAGCCCTATCTTGATATTTATTTCCAGGTTGTCTTACATAATGATTAATCACTAGCTTATTCAATCTCCGGTCTCTAATTTTATCCCCAATAGAAATTACCTTTAGTTCTGTTTTCATTCACAAATATTGTCTTTCCCTTAATGATTTAATTCCCTGTAGATTTCTCTCTAAGTTGATATTTTGAATTGACAGCTTTTTGGTCTATTTTAGACAATATCTAACTATTGCAACTGCTAGTTAATAAATAAATAATAACTCTATAATACTCTAGAGACTGTCAATATATACTGAGATCTGACAAAACGTGAAATGTCACTTTATACCCGATCATTCACGAGAAAAAAACGACATGTGCATATCAAACTAGCAATGAATACGTCCCTAGGCTGAAAAAATGAAGTAAACGTAAAGTGAGTCCAATAACCACCAAAAATCATCCAATGTAGAAATGAAACCTGGCTGCGTATTCTCGAAATAATCTGAGTGGTAGGATGCCCTTCAGACCCTAACACATCCTAGCGCTGGGATATTTTCGAGAATACGCGGTCAGAGCAAGAGCAAATAGTCAAAAGGACATTTCCCGTCAGGATGACCTCTGACACCAAGCAAGCGACTAACTAGACCCAACCATAACGTTTCTATATTAGCGCTTATTTAGTCAAGATGATTCAAGAATATGCCAATCATTCAGATAAGCAAGTTGGACGCCTAGGGCCAAAGGTAGCCAACTCTTTTTCGATTTCCATCTGTCTCGGAATATTTAAGGTTCACAGCTTGTAGCACAAGAGGCCGCGGTCTATTGTTCTTTCCGAACGACAAGACGCTTTTTCTATGTCAGCATAAAGAAGAAGGATGAAATGAAATGACATGAATGGAGTTTTACGTCCTACTAGAAGAAGGATGAGGAAAAGGCTGAGAATGCATGGAAGGATAATACAAACCTTTTAGATAATACTATTCATAAATGTCAACAGAATTACACGTTTCACATGTAATTATATTATATTGAAATTATTCCAAATTCTTTAAGTATCTCCTAGATCCATTATGCTCTTCATAACCTACTAAAGGTCTCTCTGGGGTATTATTGTTACGTCATTAGACAAAACTTTAT